CAAGGCCTAGCTCCAAAGGGCCCAGCCATTGCTTAACTAATGGTCCAAGCCCATTTCGGTCCCTAGCCCCAAGGACCATACTGAAGCAACCTAGGCTTTCTAAGAAGTGGCTGGGACCTTGCTCCCAAATTTCTTAAGCATCAACCCTACCACAACATTGAAGGCCCAGCTCCACTACTTGCTGAGTCTCTCTAAAACCAAGACCAGCTCTGCGTGAACCAATCCGGCTCCCATTGCCGAAGCTTAGCTCCAAGGACAATCTTGCTTAACGGCAAGGGCTGTGTAATGGCTATAGGTTGCTCTCTCCATTTCCAACAAACACTAGCCCTTGCTCACCTCTAGCCTAGGCTTATCTTCGATACCCCCTTGGCCTCCTTGCCGAACGGCAAGGAGCATAAAAATTTTTAGGGGAAGGCGCAAGGAGTCACCATACCAAACCACAGCTCGACTCCAACACCACTTTCGCAAACACCACGATGTCAAAGGCCCAGCCTCAAGGATTCCAAATCTGTCCTTCAAAGACCCAACTACTTTCTGAAAATATTCAGCCACAACAGGAAGGCCAAGCTTAAGGGATCCTGCTTGTGCCCAACCAACATAGCCCAGCCCCTTGCAAGAGTTTGCGCCCCAGGCCTGGCTCCAAGGCTTGACAAAAGCCCAAGACCCAGGACACATAATACTATACTCTCGAAATCCAAGATTGCCAGTGCTTGAATACCGAATGGCCACTCTTACATCCATGGCCCCAGCTCCAAGAGCCCAATCCCAAATTGCATGCAAAATCTGAGCATTTCGAATGGCAAAATATGATGGCTCACCTCCTTCAAAACCAGCCCGGCCCTGAAACTATGCCACGCTCCGAATGGTCCAGCTCATTTCAACAACGCAAGGCTAGGTCGAAAAACTCACGACTTTCTTGCCGAAGCTTTAAAGGCCCGGCCACCAAAAGGCTTGTCGAAAGCCTAAGTATTCGCAAGGTACTTAGGGTACCAACAAAAAACCAAAAAAAAAAAAAAACAGTGGCTATACTTTGCATGGCTTGCAACACGCACCAAATCTGCCAAGGGGTGAGAAATATCAAATTTATATCATCCAACATGCTGATGGACAAGGCACAAAGGAAGCCACCGAAAATCCCACCATCTGAAGGCAAAACGAGCTTCAGATCGGCACCTCACATATTGTCTCCAAAATATGGCACACCCCGCCAAGAAATTCCTTTTGGCACCCAGCATCCTTCATCACTTAAATCAAAAGCTTGGTAAACTGTCATTCTATGATTTAAGGGCTAGCAAGTTAGACATAATTTAGCAAATGTGGAAAAATGTACTACAGATTGACAGAGGCAGCAAGCTCAACTCTCCCTTATGCTAGCCCCTCCTCCAAAAACTAGGCCCTTAGAGAACCAAGACCTCACGAACCCTTGGATGCTTAAACCCTTGGATGTGGAAAAATGTACTACGGATTGACAGATGCTAAAATCGAAGGGTCACAACAGCAGATTTTTGCCGAAGGACCAACTCCACACCATTGATCTTCACACTCGATCTTCTCGGAACCTTGCCGATCGGCAAGTGGGATAGAAGACAAAACCCTAAGACTATGTGCACGGGCTCACGAAATACTTCTCAGATTCACAGAGTCTTGAGTCAGCCCCTCACCAAGCCCTTGTGCTCACGGAAAACCCACAAACAGAGGGCCTAGACCCAGGAGGAGCACCAAAACCCCTTCTTGAGTCTCTTGCCGATCGGTGGACTAGGATCACATGGCACCTACTTTCAAAACCAGCCTTGCCGAAGCTTGAGAATGCTAGAACCTGATGATACCAACCTACCGACGCTATAGTTTCCCAAACACATTTGCCGAACGGCAGGGGTCGAATAGAAGAATATGGGGCCTTACAAAAGTAGACAACCCAGCCATACCGAAGGATTCCACAAAGGTCCAGCTCCCGTAAGTTTGGAAGAATCCCTCTTCCAAACTTCAGCTCCAAATATTATAGACCCAACCGTCTTGCCACAACCGGAGTTGACCTCAGCTTTGGGCCAGACCATGTCCTAGCCTCCACCGAGCAACCAGGCAGCTCCAGCACACTTGTCAAAGAAACCCGAACAACGAACGCGCTGAAGCCTTCTCCAAACTCGTCCTTGCCGAAAAACTTGGACCAGGTCACTTGCCACAACAACGCACCCAAAGTCACAGCTCACATTGGCACTTTAGAAAATCCAAAATTTTCTCTAGGCACCAACCAAAAGGCCCAGCTTCAGTTCACGCTCATTCAGCCCTACCCAAGTCTCACCAAAGGCTCAGCTCCAGCTTGTCCCGAGTTGCCGAAGACCCTGTTTGCATACTCCAAATTAGTCTCGGATGGGCATTGCCGAACGGCAACCAACATTCGGAATTTAGGAAGCAACCACAGACTTAATTCTAGAAGGTCCTTCGGAGCCAGCACTCTATGGGGGACTTGAGTAAAACCTGTGCGCCACTCCGTATAGCCCAGAGCGAAAACTCTCAAGGCACCCTTCGAATGAGATAGGTGCAGAAGACACAGCTTCATGCCCAACCCCTTCACGACTCACCTCCTACCGAAGATACGCATGTGAGCCCACCGCCCCAAAATTTACTCAACACACCCTTGCCGAACGGCAAGGGCCGTGTGGAAGGGAAATTGAACTGCTAAAATCAAATAGCCCAGCTACAAAGCCTAAGCTCAAAGGGCCCAGCCCCGGGGATGGTCCTTGCCGAATGACAAGGATCGTGGCGCCTAACCGATGGTGTCGAAAGCAACCTAGCCCAACCTCCTTGATGTTACGGGCCGAAGCTCAACTCTCCCGCACTCTTACCGTACCCAGCTGTTTCCTTCTGAAGGCGCAGCTCCGAAATCACGCCGAACCAGCAGAGCTCTAGCTCTAGCGCCTTCTGTCGGGTGCCTAGCTCTGGCTCCTTTGTCGAAGGCCTTGATCTCCGAAGGAAAAAACCACTCTTGAAGACAACACACCCTTGCCGAATGGCAAGGGCCGCACAAAAGGATACGGAGGACACGCAAAAACAAAGAAGGGCCTTGAAAACCTCTTCGATCCACCCTTGCCGTTCGGCAAGGGTTGAGAAAAGTAGATCGGTTCACAAGGGAATGACTGCTTGCCGACTCAAACTTGAGGACTCACTCTTACTCACAAGGTACCTAAACTCTTTCGTTTCAGCCTTGCCGAACGGCAAGTTTCATGAGGTGGAATTTATACCCCTCTTTCCACAACCCCAGCCCTTGTTTCTTTAAAACCTGCCGAAGGCACAGCCTTTGCAACCTTTGCCCCAACTCTAACACCCTAGCCACATCTATATCTGCTGGAATAGAAACGGGCCTAGGCTATATTTTCTTTTTCCCTCCTTTAAAACACCCTTGCCAAACTCATCGGGCTCAAACCCATGAGGACTTGCCAAAGCCAATCCAGGGCCCAGCCCTTGCAAACTAATTAGCCCAAGCCGCCATATATAAGGGGCTCACAAAATTCCCCAAAGCCCATGCCACATGGCCATTCAAAGAAAAAAAAAAAAAAGGTCTTAGCCTCCTTGCCGAACGGCAAAGAGCACTGAAGCGTGAAATGGCTCCCCCAATTCTCCCCTTGCCGAAGCCTAGCTCTCGAAACACAAGGGCCCGGCTCTAAGGACTTGTCAAATGTCCAGGTACCTAGCTACCAACAGTCCCAGAGACTCACACTGCTTTTATCATACCCTCCACGTATTAACGTAACTTCTAACTTGCCAACTTGAGGGACTAGGAACTGCCCTACGGCTCCCACTGAACCTAGAATGCTCGGTCATGATTGCACAAAAATTTCACAAGTTCCCACCCAGGAGTCACTTCTTGATTGCGAACTTGGGGGACTACTGTTTATACCATAATCAACCGAGCATATCCAGCCTCAAAGCAACTAGCACCAAGGCAGACACATGTCATCACCACAGCAACTTGCACAAAGTCTCACATCGAAAATCTACACAAACCTCCCACTTTCACCTCTCTATAAATAGGGAATAGTATTCATATGAAAGGGGGACTTCTTCTCTCCACTTAGAGAAGGATCCGGGTCTCAGAGCTAGACCCTAGGGTCGGGGACTCTCTTCTAGATCCCTCACTTGTCATCTTTATATTTGGGTCTAACCTCATGTACAAATGTAATCATACACTATTATAATGAAAATATATTTCTCCGTGGACGTAGCCCATTCATTAAGGGTGAACCACGTATATCTTGTCTTCTTTACATTTATCGTTTGCCCAAGTCCTAACACACATGCTGAAGGTCCTCACCTTCACCCATCATTCACTATCACCTACTCTCTAAGTTGATCTCCCAAAAAGAGTATCAACAGGTGTGCCAGAAACCTTGTTAAGAAAACAATACCTCAATAACTCATCATCGCTTGGACGAAACTTAAATCCAATTGGAACATCAACATACTCACAAGGTGCCATATATAAGTATGTGTAGGTTTGTTAAAGATGAAATATTTCTTGGTTTCTTGGAATGGACGTTTCTCCGAGACTTAAGAGTAGCAGATAATGCATGCTTAAATGAGTTTCTTGGAGAGATGTGGGCTAGGGCTTTTGTGATTTCTGTGTGAGTCAGTTCCTTCCTTCCCTTCCAATATATATAGGACTATTAGCGGGCCCAGCCCTGGCTCAGGGCCAATAGGGCAACGGCAATAAATAAATAAAAAGTAAATTTAGGTTTTAGCCAAAAAAAAAAATTCACTTTTGGAAAAAGCCAAAGCTTTTTTAAAAAAGACAGAAAAACCTATCAACTTTCAAATTAAAGACATGCAAATATAAAGGATTCTTTAGGAAATTCAAAAATAAATAAGGACAATTTTGTCCATTCTGGCTTCTTTTACAAAATTTCTCTATCCTTTTTGTTTTTCCAAAGTCTCCCTAAATAAAAAGTGGACTCAAAGTACCGAAAAATCCGTCAATAAATGACGCACCCCACTTTTCATGTGATAGAGTTGTCCAATGTTCAATAATAATAAAAACATTGGGCTTCGGCCCTCCTTGTAACCAAAAAATAATAATAAAAACAGAACTAGTGTGTTGAGAGAGAGAGAGAGAGAGAGAGAGAGAAAGTGAAAGAAGCGGCAGGGGAGGATGAGGCGGAGTCGGAGCCGAAGATGTTCGATTATCGCTAGTTTCTGCCCATCCATCACTCACTGCCCTCCAAACTCCCATTCATAAAACCAAACTTCACACCCCACACACTCACACACCAACCCAGGAAGAAGAAAAAGAACAGAGAAGAAGAAGAAGAAGAAATTACCAGAAAACCAGCCACAATCAACAATGGGGAAGGGCCCCTTCTCTTTCAAGCGAAGCAGTAGCAGCAAACGCCGCCCCAAGAAGTTCATTGGCCCCCCACCTTCCCCTTTCCCCTCGCCGCCGCAGCCGATGAGATCTCCGCCAACAAACAATAACAATGCCAATTATAATAATAATCTGGGTGTGGTGGCGGGTGGTGCTGCTGCTGTGAAGGGGAAGAAGAAGGCCGGAGGAGCCAGGCTCTGGATGCGATTTGACAGCTTCGGTGGATCAGAGCTCGTCGAGTGCGACAAGAACGCTATCATTCGGCGCGCTGCCATTCCCGCCCGAGACCTGAGGATTCTTGGCCCTGTCTTCTCCCATTCCTCCAGCATCCTTGGTACTTCTCCAGTTTATTTTTATTGAATCAATTAAGTTGTTTGTTTTGTTAATTGTGTTCATTTGTGTTCTGGGTTTTCGAAATTTTATGAATTTATGCTACATTAGGTGTCTTTTAGGAGATTGAGATTCTGGGTTCTGAGTGCAATTTGTATTAGTTGGTTTTCCTTGTCCTGTTTTTGTTTGGGTCTTCCACCATTAACTTGGTTGTGGAGTTGTAGTTTTAGGGTGTTGCCAGGAATGCTTTGTGCAAATGGATAGGTAAGCAGCCTACTCGTACATTTGAAGTTACCGCTTAGGACCTTCGGATTGTTGGACTACATGTACACCATGATCGTGGCAAAAGTTTTAGCTCCTGATAATTATGTTTTCCTCATTTCAATTGCAGCTAGGGAGAAGGCCATGGTGGTTAATTTAGAGTTTATAAAGGCTATAGTTACAGCTGAAGAGGTTCTGTTGCTTGATCCTCTTAGGCAGGAGGTTCTTCCATTTGCAGATCAGCTAAGGCAACAGCTTCCTCAGAAAAGCCAATCCAGGATTGAAGAAGCAAGTCCACTTGATGAACAAGATAATGGAATGGATGTTTCAACAGGAAGGCAATGGTTACCTGTTCCAGAGGCCACTGAAGGTTTGCAGTGTGATCTCCCATTTGAGTTTCAGGTTCTGGAGATTGCATTAGAGGTTGTCTGTACATTCTTGGATTCAAGTGTGGCAGACCTTGAGAGAGAAGCTTACCCTGTGTTGGATGAACTTGCCAGAAATGTTAGCACCAAGAACCTTGAACTTGTGCGGAGTTTGAAAAGCAATCTTACCCGTTTGCTTGCACGTGTACAGAAGGTATGCTTGCTTAATTGTACTTAACGAGGATCTCTTTATTATATTTGTCCAGATGATCCACACATCATTAATCGTGTGTCTCACATCAATAATCTGACCCATCTTGGAGTCAAGTTGTTTGTCGAGTCATAATCCTTGTGATATTTCGATTTGTTTTGATAACTGAAAAGCTTCCTGGAGCATTGATGCCCCAAATAATACAAAACTGTGAATATCAACATAAAGCAGTAAATTTTAGCTTGTTGTTGGTAGTAGGGGCTATCTTAAAATGCATTCAATTGACTAATAAAAGCACCTATAGATTCATTCAGCATAAATTTTTGCCTTCCTAGTCACTCTAGTTGGTTGTCTTGGCATTAATGTTGTGGTTGTTTGGTACACTGAATAGCCATTATTATGGAATCTGATTTCATTTAGTTACCTTGGTCTTTGTTTCGTAATTGTAGTGAGGTCGGAATACAATTTTTTTCTCTTCATAGCCTCTCCCGCATTCAAGCCGTATGAAATTGTCTAAGGCTTCTGGCTTCTAAATCCCAAACTTTAAATAACACCTTAGCCTAAGTATAATGTAACTGTAATATATATCCACTTAGGAAATTGAAATTACGACGTTAAAGATGTCATAATTCCATTTTCTAAATGCTCTTATGGATGAGTAACATGCAGGTTTGAATAAGTTTTAAGAGGGTGGCTCGTGTTCTGGGCAATAATAGATAAATTTGTGATGAGATTTATTTTCTTAATATGCTTCCTGCCTGGTCTCATGGATATGAAGTGAATGACATAAGAGTTTGAGCTTTACTATATTGGTCATCAATGTTTCTACTTGATGGGGTGGCAAACCCAATATCCCCATAGATTGTTTCATTTTCTTTATAATAAAATTAAACTCAAGTCCGACCAAAAAATAAATAAACTTAACTGTTGTCATTCTTGCTAGGGAAGAGGCTGGGGCTATGTATAACTGAAAGATGTACTTTTCTCATGGCAGCTTGATGGTTTCCTGTTATAAGTGGATTTTGGAGATGGATAATTTTTTAGGTGCATGTGATTTAGATATTTCTCATTGTGTCAGATAGAGGGTTTGCCTATTTCAGTATTATGCTGGACTATAATCAAAAGAGCCTTTTTGGCTCTCTTTACCTCTCCGTCTCTTATCCTTAGGAGGTTTTCTTCCACTAGGATGTGTTTTTCTGCAGAACTCCATTTTTTCTTGTTTGGATTGTAGCATGTACACTTTTTGTAAATGGTTGGTTACTTTTTAAAAATAAAAATAAAAATATTCCTTGCCTTGCCTTGCACAAATGTCATTTGCTCTACCCAATTTTACCAGATGTCCCCAGAGGTCCCCAAAGGGAAAACTTTCATTTAATCTTGACCATTATTCTCTTTTTCCTCATTGAGTTATTAATGCATGCAGAAGTCTTTACTAAAAAAATGCAGTCGGAATAGAGAAGTTGGTACTCTTTACTATTTGATAGAATACACATGATATCTATAACTATTTTCTTTTTGGACATGAAGCATGTATCTATCTGATGTCAGGTGAGGGATGAAATTGAGCATTTGTTGGATGACAATGAAGATATGGCGCAATTATATTTGACAAGGAAATGGATTCAGAATCAACAATCTGAGTCTTTTTTGGGCCGTTCTGCCTCAATTAGCATCAGCAACACCGCACCCCATCTTCGTCGTCTTAGTTCTAACAAAAGCGGGAGCTTGGTAACTAGCAACAATATGGATTATGATGATGTAGAGGATCTAGAGATGCTTCTTGAGGCATATTTTATGCAACTAGATGGAACCCGTAACAAGATATTGTCTGTAAGTGGCATTTGTACTGACTTAGTTTAATTTCAATTTCTGGCTCGACTTGGAACTTGACTTTAAATTTCAGTTTCTGAAAATGCTCTCCTAGGACCTGATTATGGATAAGGTAACCCTTTATAAACAGTTTTAGGGATCAGTTCTCAACATTAGGTTGACCTTTGCAGTTATCACGTTTGATTCAGTTTCATATAACTGAATTTAGGTAGGATTATTTATATGTTGCACAGTTTTCCATAAGAAGTTCTGTGGTTGCACTTGCTCTGGAATAATTTGGAGGCTTCAGACCTTTGTGGATTCCCAGTCGGAACTAATTTAACTAACACTGGTATACGAAAACTTTAATTTTGAAACCAGTTTTGAAATTGGGGAGGAATTATTGACTGTAAAGATTGATCAGTCTAGTTAGATCTTTCTATTAATTAACCTATCCATCACTTGATAATAGCTAGCTATCGCATTGGCTTCTTGACTTTGATGATGCTCTCTGTCTGGCACATTTTTTCTTTTAAATGGTAGTAAGAGACCTGTCTCATAATGTAATTTAGTCATGTTCAATGATGTGATAATTGAAGCTAAAAACTGATTTTTAAGGTGAAAGACACAGTCTATGGTTCCTTCGGCTGAACCCAATGGATCTTTTGGTTCCTTTGGCTGAACCTAAATGGATCCTTAAATTGGAAATGGCAGGTTAAATACTAGTGGATGACCATTTACCTTTTTCATTTCAGCTAAATGGTAAATTGGAAGAGAATTGAAATGTACAAACTGGGCATAGTAATTGTATTATTCTCTCCTTAAAACTTCCTCATGTTCTTATCGTGTTCGTTGGATCTAGGTACGGGAGTATATCGACGACACAGAGGACTATGTCAACATTCAACTCGACAACCAGCGAAACGAACTCATTCAGCTCCAGTTGACGTTGACCATTGCATCATTTGCTGTAGCAGTAGAAACCTTGATATCTGGGATCTTTGGTATGAACATCCCCTGTGTATTATACGAAATGAATGGGGTATTTGAGCCCTTTGTCGGAGGCATTACAGCATTTTGTGTGTTGCTCTTCTTTGTTATCTTTGGGTATGCCAGATGGAAGAAGCTGCTTGGTTCATGAGTCCACTATGTCATCTTGTGTAGATAATACTAGATTCGCACACTTATTCAAGAACCCTACTAACGGGAAGGGTTTGAAGTATATGCTGAAATGTAGGGCCAGCAAAGAATTGCTTGTGATAACATTTTAGGTGAAACATTTTAGGGATTTCATGACTTAATATGACAAACTGCTGTAACATCATTCAGTTTTCTTTTGAAATTATATGGCAAGTAGGTATTTGTCGGTGTACGGTTGTATAATATGGCAGACGGATGAATGTATTTTCACATGTCATCAATACATAATGCCTCTTTTAGTAATAATGTCTTTGCTTTAGTTTTTGGTTAATTTTAGTTCTAGTTTTTAATTTTTTAATTCAAAATGTTATTTTTGTAAATAAAATTTAATTCTAAAGAACAGTTTAGATTTCTATGTTTAAATAATTCATATTACCTATAGTTTTATTTTTTAATAGATGTGATTTTGGAGAGGGGAGAATCGAACCTTGTACCTCATGGGTAAATGCTCTTAATCACTTGAGCTAGAACACCCTTGCATATTACTTACAGTTAACCAATTAGAATAAATGTAGAATAAATGTAATGCCAATGGGTGTTTAGCTAGAGGTGTTTGTTTGCAAACCCCAAATCCCCTTGTGTGCACTCCTCCTAATCCCCTAGATTTGTTAATCGCTCTATCTCAAAAATAAAGAATAAGTTATGCTCTATCTCAAAAATAAAGAATAAGTTATATACTATTGCAATGCAATGGCAAAGAGCTTAAATTAAGAGATCCCTCAACTGAGTTTATTTGAAGTACACTCTTATGGGCCCATTATGAATTGTATTTCAATTATCCAAACCGTCTATCGTTAGGTATTCATTCAAAGATCATTTATGCAATAAAAAATAAAAAATCACTCGAATTTGAAACATGTTGATCACACAATTAACAATTTTCAATTATATTGTAACTTGATAAAAATAATATGACAATATATAAAGGATATAACTATTTAAACTTTATACCAGCTCTTTATGATATAAATACATGAAAAGCAACTATAATCACTAATGATCTGCTTAACTTTGGTTCTCCACATGTCATCTCATTAAAATTTAATCTAACCCTCTGTTTGGATAAGGAAAAATAACTCAGAATTTAGGTAAAAGTCAGGAATTAAATAAGAGAAATTGACAATTCCCTTGTTTGGTAACTTAAACGCAGAACTTATTAAATGACGCGTGGAAAAAATCATGGAAATTGAGGCATCAAATTCCCAAGTTTAATTTCCACAAAAATAGGCGTCATTTCACAATTTCCATGGTGCGGGAATTCATATTTTCCAGTGTGCCAAAACTTACATTAAAAAAAAAAAGCACCAAACTTTTCATTAAAAAAAAAAAAACAGCGCCAAAAACCTATGAAACGGAGTATAGCCAGAGAAGTAAAGAGGAGTTCTTCTTGGGTTACATGGCTCTTTAGATCAAGTTTGAAGGTTAGTCTTCAAGCCTTTCTCTCCTTCAATTTATATTTTTTTTTATTTTAGGGTTACCATGGTTTCTGAATGGCTATCAAAATTGGGTGTTTCTAACTAAATTTATGAATGTGTTGCATGGGTTTTGTGATCTTTGCAGCACTATGGCTGAATTTTTGGGAAGTTTTAACAAAATACTCTATGCCCATGGATATTGGTGTGTGATTGGTGTTTATGGTACAGCTTTGTAGTTGTTCATATTTTTTTTTATTTTAGGGTTACCATGGTTTCTGAATGGCTATCAAAATTGGGTGTTTCTAACTAAATTTATGAATGTGTTGCATGGGTTTTGTGATCTTTGCAGCACTATGGCTGAATTTTTGGGAAGTTTTAACAAAATACTCTATGCCCATGGATATTGGTGTGTGATTGGTGTTTATGGTACAGCTTTGTAGTTGTTCGCTAGCTTTATCACTTTGTGTTATCACCTTGCTCTGTAGTTGTTTGTTAGCTTTATCGCTTTGTGTGAGCCATTAGATGTTGATTGTAATCTACACCAACTTGCTCGTAAGCTGAAGCTTGGCCAATGTGCTCCTTCATTCTTTGGGACCTGAATTAAGTCTTATGACAGTGATTAATTGATTTCATCATTTATTCCTATACTTTTGTTTGCAACTTTTTAATCGAAGCCCTTTCAGTTTCTCTGGTCATTGGTCGTTTGCCAAGTGAAAAAGAAGTATCAGGGTCTTGATTGCTGATTGCTTCTAGTTCTAATTCCATAGGTACCAGAGAAGTATCAGGGTCTTGATTGCTTCTAGTTCTAATTCCATAGGCACTCCCAATTGAGGAGAAAAAAAAAAGTACGTTGCTGATGTTCATTGCACGTGGGGAGTGATTTGGTTTGCTAATATGCTTTGTTTGTTTAAGTTGAGTTATTTAGTTCATCAAACGATATGTTATTTTATACTTCGAGGAATACCTTCTATCTCGGTTATTAGTTTTTTTGTTCTTTCGAAATATTTAATTTCTGTCATTTACTATTTACATGAGCTATCCAAACATTGAAATTTTCAATTTCTGTCATTTACAAAATTCGACATACATAAATCCAAACACTGAAATCTTCAATTGCCAGAAATTGAAATGACGGAAATCTAAATTCCGTCATTTTAAAATTCTATGTAATTTGCAATTCCTTCATCCAAACGGAACATAAAGGAATTTAAACTGGACACATCGTCCTTAAAATAAAAACCCAATTTACTCATAAAAAAAATAATAAAAAAAGCCCTAACTTGACTAAACTCTTAACTTACTTAACGTCTGTAGTTTTTTTTCCTTCCTCCTACTTCCTTTATCTCCACATCTCCCCTGCCCCAAATCTTAGCTATCGGCAAACTTTCCTTCTGCCACATGCTCTTATTTTTTTGGTTCCAGCAACTGTTTTTTTTTCTTTCCTTCCTTCCTTTCTGGGCAAAAATCTTACTCATACCCCCTTTAATCCAAAAATTCTCTCTGTCTCACCGAAATTAATTAGAAATATTAAAAGAAATAGTTTAAATGTGGTTAATTTCTTGGCAAATTTAAAAGTTTCTCTGGTGAATGAGTTATGGGAGGGAAACAGGTAAATTGGAAGAGAGGGATAAGTTTTTGAGTAACATGATTAAATATTTAAAAATTATACAATTACGAGAGTTTTTGTATTTTTTTGTATTTTCTGGCTTGGTTTTTTCAAGCTTTATCTATTTTTTATTGAATAATGCTACTCTTACCACATTTGTATACCACATTCTCATACCACCTTATGTGGCAGATGAGGTGGACAACACATCAATTAAAATTAATTTAAAGTTTTCTTAACTTTTATGATTTATTGACACTTTTTATTTGATGTGATTGTCTACTCATCTGCCATATAAGGTGGTATGAACATGTGGGATATAATTGTGGTAAGTGTAGCATTACTCTTTTTTATTATTCCAAGTTTGCAATCTTATTTGGGATGTCTATGCCAAAATTTCTTTTGTCCTATGTGATTGTTAGTTGAGGCGCACCAGATTAGTTTGTATTGGGCCTCTTTTGTTGAATTATGAATACAATCCTATAATTTATCCCAAAAAAATACACAAAATGTTAGAATAGTTGGCTTATATTAATTGACATGATTGTCCAATCTTAACTTGCCACATAAGATGATATATGAATGTGGTATAAAAATATGATGTTTGTGTACCGAAGAAGATGGAGTGTAGAGAGAGCAGGGAGAGAGGGGAAAAAGGGATTCAAGAGAGAGGAGTGATGGTAGGGAACAAACGTGAAAACATATTGAGGGTCTAACTTTTTTGGGTAAAATTTTAATTCTTTTTTGTTAATTAAAAACTTATCAAAAGAATAAAGACTCAAATCAATTTAACTGATATGACTGTCTATCTTGGCTTCTCACATAAGATGGTATACAATATAGTACGGCTAGACATATATGTCTATCTTAACTTTCCACATGAAATAGTATTAATATGCGTATAGAAATATGATAAGTCTAGCATTATTGTTTATAAAAGGAATGCACTTTGACAACTAGATTATCAACTAGTAGTTTGTATTTCATGATCATTGGAATTCATTGAGCCTTAAAGAGAGAGCAAGCCCTATTTAGTTGGGCAAAGGACAACCATTTCACAGGCAAAAATGTGGTCAAAATGTGTGGACATGTCTGATTTTTATATTGTACGGATTTTTGTTGTCTTGTTGTAGACTTTATTGATGAGGAATTGGCTGGCTGTCTCCCCTCATGCACACTTTATGTGCCAACTGCCTTCCTTCTCTCTCTCTTCTATTTCTATTTGCCAATGCCCCATTATTTTATCATTAATGTCGTTGTCAACAACTCACTCCACATTGTCCTGCTTTACGTTTGCAATAAGAAAAAAGCAAAAACAGGGAATTGCTTGTATGCAATAAAGTTGCATAGCACCACAAAGAAAAGTTAAAGCCCTACTTGCTGAATTTTGAAAAATAAAAAAAGACTTATCAATGAACAGAATATTACCACTTTGCAGTAAGTGCTGAATTTGGATTCTCACATTTTATTGGCTAACTTTTTTTATTTTTGGGGGGGTTTTTATCACAAAACGTTGATAATATGTACGAAATTATTAGATTACGTTCTTTATTTTTTTTTTATGTCATTAATGGTCTTTAAGATTAACACTCATACTCATAAATAGTCCTTATTGTTAGATTTCCTCAAGAATTCTGTTAGTTTGTTGACGAGTCACATATATGGAGTCTATATATCTAATAAAATAATGTCATATGAATCTATAGAGTTAAATATGAGACTACTGATCTGTAAGTTTAATGTACTTCAACTTTTAATCTACTTTGTTTTGTCACTCATTTTCTTTAGGGTTCTGGTAATAAAACCTATGCCCACCTAGTTGTCGGATCAATAGTTAATTGGGGTCACCCTCTTTTTGTTTGACCATCACTTTACACAATCCAAACTTTCTTTTACACCAGGAGAGAAAACTTGCGTATTCTAAAAACAGAAACTTACGGATGAATTTTTTTATTATTTTTATTTTTATTTTAACATCTTTAGTCCTAGAATAGAATTTAGTGGTACCAAAAAAAAAAAAGAACTGGAAAAGGAGAATAAAAAGGACACAACAAAAGGGTGTCGACATATGAAAATTGAAAGATCCTTCGCGGAAACGAAGTGCGAAAAAACAATCAAATTTCAGAAAGGAAAAAAAAACACAAAAAAAACAAAAAACGAAAAAAGATGAAAAATGTATTTAATTTTGGGAATTTGTTTTCCATCCAACCCCCATACCTTAA